TGGGGCGGGTGCTCCAGACCACAGAGCACTATTGTCAAAGCACAGTGAACACAGCAGCAGCTGCCCCACCCCAGGGCACCAGGGGCTCGCACCCCAGACAGAGCGCCACTGGGAAGGGGGCTCTGAAGTCTGTTTTGGTTGGGGGGTGAGGGTGAAGGAAACCGGGTGCCTCTAGAAGAGCTGGGTGGGAGTGGGGGGTCAGGGCGGGCCCTTGGGCTGGGCAGGGGGCACCCCCAAGAACAGCTGACCTGAGATCCTCCTCTTTGCCTTCCCCCTCCCCGAGCTGGGGGTGGTGGTGAGACTGTGAGGTCCTTCCACTGTCCAGGTGAAATGGAGCTGCGGGGCCCCTGGCAGTTCCTTCCCACTCAGAGCAGGTCCCAGCAGGGATCACCTGGTGCCTAGCCTTGGGTGGGCAGAGGCCCAGGGTGGGCAGGGATGCTGTGCCTGCCTGAGCCACCTGACGTGAGGGAAAGGGGCCAGGCAAAAGGAGATGCCTCGGGGTTGGGGGCCCACAGCCCCGTGACCAGGTCTTCCTGGAGGCTCAGGCCCCTGGGCTAGAGCCAGGCCTCCCTCATGCCAGGCCTCATCTCTCTAGGCCCTGCAGGTGGGGTAGATGAGCTGGGCACATGCATGGTCAGAGTGGACCACGGCTGGCCGATTGGCCCCCGCTGGCCCTCAGTGTGGCAAGAGCACCTGGCTGCGGAGCGGGAGACCCATTTCTCATTTGGGCCGGACAGGACCCGCACTTTTGCCCTTTGAAAGGACCCTCTGAGGAAGGGCTGACTTTCTGTGGCCCCCGCGGGAGCATGCGGAGGCCGGGCCGGGCCGGGCTGGCCCTCTGGGGTGGGCGTCTGCCTGGCAGGCGGAGGGGGCTCGGGTGTGTCCTGTCCAGCCGGGTAGGTGGCCTCACTCTGCCTGTCCTTCCAGTGGGTCTTAGCCTTCGAGATATTCATCCCTCTGGTCCTTTTCTTCATCTTGCTGGGGCTTCGGCAGAAGAAGCCGACCATCTCTGTGAGAGAAGGTGAGGGTCCTCGGGGCTGGGCAGGGCACAGCGGGGGTGGGGTGGGGCAGGCAGCCCTCCCCGCACCACGCACGCATGTCCTGTGTGCACGTGACCTCACGCGTGTGTCCCAGATCCCACAGCTCCCCCCCACGCAGTCCGTGAGCCTGTCCCTGCGTGGTCCCTGGCCACGCCTCTCGGCTGGGCTGGAGGATGTGGCTGGCCGTGGTGACCACGCGTGCCGTTTCCTCACTGTTCTCTGTTCTGTTTCGCCCCCCCCCGCATGGTCTCTTGTCCTCCTCTGCCGCCCGCACGCAGTCTGTAAGTGAGCGGCCGCCTCCTCCTTGCTGGCCCAGGCGCAGCCGCAGGATGGTTTTGGGGGGCCTCCCGGTGCGGCTTGAGCACCCCCCACCCCTGCTTGCATTAACAGCCTTTCCCAGACCTGCTGGGTCCTGCAGAGCCCCCTGCCCACAGTCAGGGACGGCTGGCTTGGAGGAGGGGTAGTGGGTGCTGGGAGCAAAGGGCTGGGCCACCTCGACCTCAGGGACTCTGGGCCAAGCTCCCAGGGCGTCCCTCTCTCTGTGGGGTGGCCTGGCCCTGCCGGGGCACCTGGGCTAGCCTGGGCTGGGGCTGGGGTACCAGATGCTCTCCCCTCAGACCCTGTGGGCTCCTGCATTCACTCTGCTAACCAGCTGGCCGGAGAGGTCAGAGGTCGCTGCCCAGCCGGGGGCCTTTTATGTTCCCCTGGGCTCTGTGGGCCATGCCACACCTGAATTTTGGGGGGAGGGTGTCAGGGCATTTTGGCCTTGGCTGCTGAGGGAAGAAGGGTGCTCCGGGAGTTGTGCGGAAAGGGTGGTGAGATGCCCTTCGACCTCTGACCTGCTCGGGTCATTTGCACTAGAACTCTTGGCCCTCTGTTCCCTGTCTGCTGCCTAAAGCTGCTTTCCCGTCCTGACTTTCTATACATTTCTCTCCTTTGCCTCTGTCTTCCTCCCCCCTCTCCCCTTCTGTCCCCTCTCCTCGGACCTTCTCACCTGCCCTGTCCCCACCAGCCTTCTACACAGCAGCGCCCCTCACCTCCGCCGGCATCCTGCCAGTCATGCAGTCGCTGTGCCCAGATGGCCAGCGGGACGAGTTCGGCTTCCTGCAGTACTCCAACTCCACGTGAGCATCCTCCCACCCCCAGGAGCCCCGCCTCCTCC